ACCCTAGGCTAGTTCACCTATGCAAGATTTTGAAGGGGAAAGAGGATGAATTTAAAAGTGGGGAATTCAAAATAACTGTACATTTAAAAAGCCAGACTCCCTTTCCCATTATTGTGGATAGCTGGGTAGTTACAGGGTATTAAATGACAATTAGGGATGGAAAGAAGAAAAACTGTGTACTTAGCAGCAGCAGCTGAATCGATCACCTGGGGGACAGAAAAGGCTCTAACTCAAAGACTAACCCTGAGTTGAAGACTTGCATTTCAAGCTCTCACTTCGTGGATAAACTGTGAACACAAGGTTCCCAAACCTATTTCATCTGACAAACAACATCTTAAGTCTATTAGAAAGGGCGTCCAGGGCACAAAGCATTCACCACAAGATTGACCAGAGTACAGGAGAAACCACCTCCACCAAAAGGCAAAGCAATATATGTCAGGAACACTTCCTTGCCTGAGATGGATAGATAAGCACACAACAGAAGGAAAAACACTCAAATTGCACTTAAAGGCAAACCAACCCCCTTTCCCACAGTAAATTCTTTGTATATGCACATCAAAACAGATCTAACAATCCACTGGGGAAAACCAGGGGCAGTCTGTAGCCGTGACAGAACCTGTGGGAGGGCAGATCTCTGAGTAAGGTCTTGACAAAAAAATGTCTTCCTTGTGACCATGCAGTTATTTACCCTGGCATGTGATGGGTGGGGGTGGGGACATAGGGATGAGAAAGGATGACTTGCTAATGGGGGTACTCTGGGTGTTTCTCCTAAGTCCCAATAGCAGCCTTCTTCCTATTGCTTAGCTGTTACATCCTTCCAAGATACAGGGTTGACCTAGAGATGAAGATTTCCCTTTTATAAAAAGGGCTACTGAGTTCAGCAAATCCTCTGCTAGACAGTGGCCAGTGGAGTAGTGGGTGCCCTATGGAACAGGGCTTGCCTGCATCTCTAAAAGGAAGCCAGAAGGTTTTTGAGTCTCTCAAGGGTAGTGCAAAAAGAAGGAAGGAGCACTGGCCTAGGACTTAGAAGAGGCCAAGTGCTAAGTCCACTCTGTCTTTAGGTAAGTCTCCTAACCCTGGGCCTGATCCTTCATGGTCATATTTTAACTGTAAAATCTCACCACCATCAAATCACCATTTTTAATGAGCTCACACTTCTGTTTTTCCTCTCAGGGGAAGAAGAGCTTTTCTTTCTTACTGATGAAGTGAAAAATGCAACTACCTATTCACTGCCTTTGCTTATCAGACTTACAAATTAGGCCCTCCCCTTTGGGCATGAGAAAACTGTCTAAGGGAAACCACCCCCCACCCCCCACCCCCCACCCCCCGTGAGTTAAATTAATAGACAATTTTATTTACAATTGTTCGTTTGGCTTTATTTTTGGCAACACACACATACACCTCTGCATATATGTTCAGCAATAAAGGACACCAGAGCACTGAAATCTAAGCATCATTATGAGAACAATGTTCTGCTACGGAAATAAACTCAGTGCAAAAACAATGTGTGTAATTCAGCTTGGCTTCAGTCCACAAAAGACTGTGCTATTTAGCAAGAAAAGGGAAGAAACATTTGATCTTAGAGAATCTCGGGAGTATTTTCATAGAATTAACTTGATAAGAAATTGCTAAAGGGGCTTTTCTCTTTGTTTCTCCCAAGGGTAGGGTCGTCTGCGGGGAGCTTAGCAGAGCAATGAAAGTAGAACACAGAAGCTTCCACACTGACTAAGTAATTGAACTTTCAACATCCATTTTAAAGAAGGTGTGGCTGAGGAGAAGGCTTTGCTCAAGACCCTGGAGAAGGGTGGATGTTTGCCTTTTCTGCCTCCAAGGGCCTCATTTCCTCAGGCCAGCAGGAGCTCAGCCCACTGTGATCTTAGACTGGCAGACTGACCTATCAGGAGGGGAGGAGCCACCAGGGTGCAAGTAACTGAGCTCAGCATAGAAACTAAAGGCCAAAGGCTGAAAGGCCCATCTGTTGCAGTCAATTCACCCAAATGTGTTACCAGGCGGGAGACAGCACAAAGCAGCAGTTACAACCTGTGCTCCTTCCCACACGATGGCTGTTTTTATCACCTGCAGCTGCAGTCATTTGGGGCAGCCTGCTGTGTGCTGCCTCCCTCACAGCCCCGGCCACTTCCTCTGAGGTGCCTGCTATATGAAAGCTGCCCAGCCCAACTCCCAGCCCAGGTGAGCATCACCAGGACTTTTAAATTCAGGTTTCCGACAGTGAGTAGGTCCTGCGGAATGGACTGCCTATCCTTCCAATGAGCTGGAAGGCCAGTGGCTGGCTTGCTGCAGAGATCCCAACTGAGGGGACCTACACCCGGAATGCCCTACATATTCCATTCTGAAGAGGGCAAACAAGAACAAAGACCCCATGCTTCACACATTGAAAAGTGTAACCTGCTTCCCAGCTCATGGGAACCATACTCTAAGCTAGACTGGTTGCTGACTGTCCCAGGAAGGAGGTTCTGGGTCTGCCCCCAAGGCCCTGTGCTCAGCACAGGGTGAGTTCCTGGAGCTCACAGTCACGCTCTAAAGCAGGAGGTGGGGGACAGCTTGAGACTACCTGACAAAAGTTGACCCTAAAATGAGGTAAGATGATTTCCACAAAGCTTGGGTGTTTTTCTTTTACTTTTTCCAAGACAGGGTCTCTCTGCGTAGCCATGGCTGTCCTGGAACTTGCTCTGTAAACAGGCTGGCTTGGACTCCCAGAGCTCCGCCTGCCTCTGCCTCCCGAGTGCTGTGATCAAAGGTGTGTGCCAGTGCCTCCCCGGCGAAGTTGGTTTTTTGTTTTGTTTTTTCCTGCATCAAAAACTTTCTACTTACTTTTCCCCATGATGTGGCAGTGGCTTTTTCTAGAGGGCTATTTGTCCCCAACAGCCATTTACAGTATGTAGAGGCATTTTTTTTGAAACAGAATTTCTTGTGGCACATGCTGGCTTCTGACACACCATGTTGCTGAGGCTTTGAATTCTGATCTTCCTGCTTCTACCCCCAAGGGGAAAGATTATGGGTATATGCCCTACACCTGGCTTCTGGAGATATTTCTGGTTATGATAGAGCACTACTATGGACATTTACTAAGAGAGGCCATTGGTGCTACTGCTAATACTTTACAGTGCACAAGTCTACTTCCATAAAAGGATGATCCAGTCCCTAAGGTCAACAGCTGCGAAGGCCAAGGAAATCTGCTAGAGTAACTAACAAATAAGAAATTCAGTTATTTTTACTCTCTTGGTGATGTCAGCAAATGGTGAAATATCTGGCAATAGTGCTGAAGACAGGCCCAAAGAGCTATAGACTGACATCACCAACAGCTGCCATCACTCAGAAACATGCTGGATGACAAGTTGGCAATGCCAGGAGAGCAGGGCCAGAAAGATTGCTCTCTGCCACTGACCTAAACTACAGCAGTGCTGTGGAGGTGAAGATCTACGCCAGGCTCCAGGCAGCTTAGCCAGCTGCCGGCAAGCTGAGTCAGGAGAACCAACAAGATGCTCAGAAGGCAAACAGCCTGAGCACCAGGCAGCCTGGCTCCAGAGACAGAGGCGTGACAAAGTGACTGTCTCCAGGAAACAGGAAGGAGCAAACATTACTAATCTCCACTCATGACTAGGCTGATCTAGCTTACATTTTCTTTTTTAAAATCCTTCTGGAAAGGAGAAAAACAATAAAGTAGAAAAGTAAAGCAGGGCACTCAACCACTGATTAAAATCTATACTGCTATGGCAGCCCCTCTGAGACAGGATCAGCTCCTGGCTTACACCAGCTGCGCTGGTAGAGCTTGTAAATAATTAAAAGGTAATTGGAAGGCGAGGCCAAAGTATTAAGTGGATTTCTCTCTCTTAGGGCACAGGAGTTTCCCTGCTGCCAGTCACATTGTCTTGCAGGGCTGTATTTTCTGGTTTTTTACTCACACACACAGCTCTAGATAACTGTTGAAGGAGTAAACTAATTAGGGCTGCTTATTCTGCTCTGATAGGCTTGGAGACAGAGGAACAAAGCCTCCAATCTTTCCATTGCCTTTTAAAGCAAACCAGCAGTGATAGCTCACTACCATGAAGGCATAAGGCTTTGAAAGGAAAAAAAAAAAAAAAAAGGAGGAAAAAAGGAAACAGGGTGGAGAGACAGAAAGAGGAGGTGTGGAGGGAGGATAGAAAGCAGGAAGCGAGAACAGGAGCTGTGCACTCAAGAATGTTTATCTGCCATTACAGCTCAGCCTAGAACAAAAAATAAAAAGATCATTCCCAGATCTTAATAAAGTTGCTGACAGACCCCAAGGGATATGTGATCACATAAGAGCAGGGTTCTAGGGAAGAGGCTGGTGGGAACAGCCCTCTCTAGTGGCTATATCCTAAGGGTGATGAAGGTGAAGCTACATAAACTGTTAAGGGTCTTCTCTTAAAGTGACTGAAGTCCTGATCATGCTTCCTGAGGCCTGACCTAAGCTGGTGAACCCATTGCTATGACAGGATATAAAGCCAGGAAGCTGAGTCACTGGACTGGAGACTCAAGTCAGGACATGGTGCAGAGTGGAGCCAGCTCTAGGGAGTAGGGTGGAGGGAGAGGAGGACAAAGGACTGAGAAGTGGTTATGAATGGATGCCTACCACCGGGTGGCTAACCTGCAGAGAGAGTCCACCTGTGTCGAGGAAACCCAACAAGTAACACCAGCCTTCCCTCTTCATGGAACATTTCATTCTCCAGAACCACCTGGGCGGGGGAGGCCCTATGCTTTTACTTACTGTTCTCAGTCCACATGGGACAGCTGTACGGCTACAGTGAAAACATATTTGAATATGAAGTATCTCTAGAGACCAGTTAATTTAGAAGGGAAACAAAAATAAAGTAGGGCCAAATCCATATTTTGCTAAGGGCTTCTCTGCTCCCTTGAATCTGATTGCCAATTATCTAAATGACTCTTGCATAGGGAGGTGTGAAAGAGGTCATCACTCAATAAGCACTTAGTTGGAACAATTAGGAGGCAACACTTACCCCTCTTCTGCATGAAGATGAAGAGGTCATCCAGAAATTCTTTCCTTTCAGGATCACTGTCCAGTTCATACAGCTGCAGGCCAGACCCAATGAGAAAAATCACAATGAAACAGCCCAGCTTGCTGCAGGTGCCATCCCAGAGCTACTACAGGTGTCTGAGTAACTACTAATGTGACTCATCAGCCACTCACATCATATGTGGAGAGGTGAGATACAGCCCACTGCAAAGCTGCTTCTATCTTTATCACAAGATAATACAGACCTTGGCAAAATCTCGAGAGATCTCTCTTCCCCGGCCTCCATCGGCATCATCACTCCAGGCCAAAGCACCATTCTGAAGAGAACAAAACATAGCATTAAGAGGGGAGTGGAAATCAGTAAATGGGAGAGCAAGACCATCCAGGGAAAGATGACCAGCCTCAGCAATCTTGCTCCTCTGGCTCACACTAGAAAAGCCTATTCTAGACCCTCTACTACCTTTTTAGGACGTTTTACTTTTGATGATGGTTTCAAAATATGGTGTATGGCCTGGGTGGTGGGTGGGTTTCAAAAGATTCATCTCCCTTTGTTGGCAAAGATGGATGTTGCTCATGCTTTGATAATGCTGAGAAGGACACAAAAGCCCACAGGAACCCCCATCCCAGCTGACTTTCTGGAAGCTATCATTCTAAGACACACTCACTGAGCAGTGTGTGCAGAGATGCTCAGCTCAGCCCCTAACACTGCACTGTGAGTGGTCAAAGGGCAAGTGAATGGCACAAAGATCCACAAGTTGAAGTCTCTCAGCCCAGCCTCCCATCAGAAACACCCCCTAAGCCTAGTGATGAAAATGCCTGAGGAACTGCAGGCCACCACAGCCTGAGACCATGCCCAAGGTGCAGACTAGGCACAAAGTTGATTTTCATTAGGAAATTAAAACACCAACCAACCAACCAACCAAACAAACAACCCAAGCCTTGGTTAGATCAAAGCAATGCCATATGGCTGAGCAGGAGGAAAGGGGAAGTATGCCTTTGTTTCTGTTTTTTATTCAGCTGGATAACTTACCCCTTTGACAGATACCAATTTACCTCTTCTGTGGGAAACCCACCCTTCAACCCAACTTCATTGAGGACCCCAAAAGCAATCAATCTATGCGAGTAGTTCAGAACTTCTGGAATTATGTCATCTCCATCAGAAGGAACATTCCTTGATAGAAAATCAATCTTTATCTTCTTTGTATCTCAGCACAGTATCACACTGCCTGCTACATAATCAATTTGCTATTTGAACTAAAAATCTCTTCAACAAATACACTAACACATATACCATGGAGATGACTTAGCCAACTCTGTGCTAGTGGCAAGTATGAAACCTCCCAGTATAGTTTTCCGTTCACCCTGTCCTGGTGGATGCAGTTACACCTTGAACCTATGACATACTTCCTCTGTCCTCCCTCCTGGACCACAGGCACATGCAGGCACACCACCCTGCTAACAGAAGTATGTAAGCGCCTGAGGAAGACATGAAGGTTAGGAGCAGGGACCTCTTGGGAGAACGTCCTTTGGACTCCACAGGAATTTTGCTCTAAAACCATGAAATGGTAGCCTGGGCAAATTCTACTTGGTACACACATGCACACCCTGTGCCCCTCTGTACCTGGAAGCAAGAGGCACTAGTCAGCTACTCTTTGAGGCCAAACTTTGCCTTCTCTACTCAAGGCTGACTGAGATACAGATGCACTTCTTCCTTCTAACAGTGAGGTAAGTCTGACAGAGAAGTGACACCTTGTCAGTTGAAATGAAACAGGCTACATCAAATTGTTTTCCTGCTTATCTTGTCAAAGATGTGTGTAAAGAAGTGCTTGGCCAGGGATTGGACAGTGTACACAGCAGGCCCGGAGGTAGACACTGTTACTAGCGTCCAAGCTAATAACCAAGCAACACTGTGGGTTTTTTTTTTTTTTTATCTTTTCTGTTGTTAAATTCAACCCCACACTGTAATTATTATAGTTACCAGAAATCTAGTATCATCTGGTAGCAACTAACACAATGAATAATCAGGGTGAAATATGCCTGTCAGGTCAGCAAAACCAGACAGTTACATTCGAACCCCTTTCAAAGAGTGCAGTAGGTTGCCCTAATGCCCAATGATTTTGTTTGAGCCAGTAATTCCTGCTGGAAAGTCAATTATCTCAGGAGCTCCTATTGGCTGAAAGACATTTAATGGGGGATCGCTATGCTTCTGTTATGTCAGCTGTTTACTGTGGCAGCTCAATTTCCAAGTCTGCAGCTAGAGAGCTGAGGCTGATGCTCAAGGGAGGATTCTTTATCAGTTGCCAAGATGAAAACACTGGGTTTTTGCTAATTACAGTAACTTGCAGGCATTCCAAAGGCCCAGGAACTATGTCACGCTCAGTTGGAGGGAGAGGATCTAATCCACAACCTTGAATGAGTGTGGCTTTCAGCAGTGGGGGAGGGGTGTGAGAAAAAGCATGCCAGTGTGACCACCTTAGGGCTATGTGTGAAAATAAACACCCAAGTGCCAGCACAGCTCCACAGACAGAAAAGAGAAGAATGCTGGGGGTAAAGGGGGGGTTGGGAGAGAAGTTGGTATCTACTGTATCTCTTCCACTCTCTCCAGCTCTACCCCAACTGCAAGGGATTTAAGCATTTAGCTGTAGCCATGAAGCAGGAAACAGCTTAAAATGTGCTCAGTCCAGAGAGGAGTCAGCTATTCGGGGTGGTGTGGACAGAGAACAAAGAACTGAGGAGCACATCATAAAGCGGATGCCAATGCAGGCGACAGTGACAGAATTTTAGCCAGAAACATCTCTAATCCAATGACCACAAAGACATTGGCCACAGGACAGAAATGAGACACTGATTTTTTTTTTTTAAATGCAAGAAAAGAAAAAATGTCTGAATGTGTGAGTCTTCCTTCTCCTGTTCCAAGGCAAGGATACTCCAGTTCTTTTCTTTCTTTCTTTCTTCTTTCTTTCTTTCTTTCTTTCTTTCTTTCTTTCTTTCTTTCTTTCTCTCTCTCTCTCTCTCTCTCTCTCTCTCTCTCTCTTTCTTTCTTTTTTGTAGTTTTTTTGTTTTTGAGACTGGGTTTCTCTGTGTAGCCCTGACTGTCCTGTAGACAGGCTGGCCTCAAACTCAAAGATCAGCCTCTGCCTCCCGGGTGCTGGTATTGAAGTAGTGTGCCACACTGCCCAGTGACAGCTCATTTCTTAGTTTAAAATATTTAGTTGGGGCAGCTGGGCATGGTGGTGCATACCTATAATCCCAACACTCAGGGAGGCAGAGGCAGATGGATCTTTGTGAGTTCAAGGCCAGACTGGTCTACAGAGCAAGCCCAGGACAGCCAAGGCTACGGAGAGAAGCCCTGTCTCAAAAAAAACTAAACAAATAAACAAACAAAAACAAAACAACAACAAAAAACCCCAAAACAAGAAAGTTTGGTTGGGGCCTATGCAGAAATCTCTCATATTAATTCATCTTTACTTAGTTTTGCAGGTTTTTTTCTGGTTATGATGAGACTGATCCTGCAGCCTGCCTGCTTGGCAGTCCAGCTGGGATGCTAGTTTCTCCATGAAGCCTGCTGGTTTCCGTTCTGGGCTGTCACCTCACGTCCTGGTTACCTATACCCCTTCACCTCTAATCTTAAGCATCTTGAGGGTGCCCTAACCCCCAGCACAGAAAAGGCACTGATACCTGCCCAGACTTGGTCAGTTCCCTGGGATTCACTGTCTCTTCTGTCACCCTCCTGCCTGCAGTGAAAGGGTTGATTACAGCTCTTTTCTCTGTTTACAACACTGATCGAATGCCATAAATAAATGACTCCCATATGCAGGTCACATTTTCTTGACCTATCACCAGGATGTGGACGTGACTAACTAAAGTTATCAGCCACAAAATAATTTTTCTTAGACATGGATGACGGACTGCAGTAGTGGAAAAAATAGGGGAAAGCAGAGGCAGATGGAGAATGGGTAAAATATATGCCAAGAGACATCTCAATCTCTTCCATCAAGAGGGGTTGGAAAGCTGAAAGGTCACTGCAGGTGGGTCTACCCTTCCAGAAACAGGCTTTGAACCACTGGCACAGACAGCAGTATTAAACAGCCAAAACTGGGGTTAAGAGGAAATCAGGGTGGGTGTCCACAGTGACCAGTGGTTACTTATTGCCATTTACAGCCTCTCTGGCCTCCTCTTACTACAGAAATTCCTTTCAACATCTTTGATCTCACCAGGAGCTCACAGGAACTGACAGTTTGTCTCCAAAGACCCACCTAAGACTAGTTTTAGCTGCCATGCCCACATTCAACTCATTTCCCCCAAGGAAACCAGACTATTTTGCCTTAAAACTCCTTTAAAAAGGTAGTGAAAGACTGGGAGGAAAGAAAGGAGGCAAGAAGTTAGCATTTGTGTGCTACAGTTTATTTACACATTAGATCAATTTTCTCACTTAGTCCTACATATAATAATATATTTTAAAATGCCACAAACAACAGATCTGGAATGAATCGATTTATTGTATGGGGCTGGGGAGGAGAGAGACAGAGACAGTGGGAGAGCACAGGAGAAGAGACAAAGGGGGTGGGGCGAGGTGTCTTGGGAGAGACACCAAAGTGGAGCGGGCAATCGAGGAGAGGACATGCAGTGATGGGCCTGTCCTTTCTAGCTGGAAAGCACACACCTGGTAGCAGCAGGTGGTGACATCAGGTTGCCAAGCAACCTGGGTGTAGCCTAGTGCACTGACTAACATCCCTCCATTTTCCTATAAAAAGAGAGAAGCTGGGCATGGTGGCACAGGCCTGGAAAAAGTAACAACATAAATAAATAAATGAAAACGAGGCACTAGGGTGGCAAGATGGGACTGCTTCTCATGCAAGGCAAGTTCAAGTATACAAATAAATGCAGACTCACTGGAAGCAGTTCTTGGCCGCCATGCAAGTGGGTAAGAGAGAAAGGGAGGGAAAAGAAGTAAGAGCACCAAAATGTCCAGATTATAAGGGAAAGGAAAGCCCCTGCCCTGGAGGGTTCAGGGTAGAGGGCGAAGTATGTCAGCCACGCACTGCAGCCTTTTTTTTTTTTTTTTTTTTCTTTCTTTGGTTTGACAAGATTTTTTTTTTTTTTTTCCTGTATGGCCCTGACTTACTTTGTAGACCAGGTCAGCCTCGAACTCACAGTTCCCCTGACTCTACCTCCCAAGTGCTGGGATTAAAGGCTTGGCAACGGAGAAAGCCTTCTTAGGAAGTGAGAAGCTGCTTGGTCCAGCTTTGTAGACCTATGTGGAGTCTACCTATGTGGAGTCTCAGTTTGGAATCCCACACAAGGCAGGGTTGAACCA